GGCTCCTGGCCATACTACTAGGAACAAGAAGCTACTAGGGGCTCCTGGCCTTATTACTAGTAGCAAGGACGCTACTATGGGCTCCTGGCCATACTACTAGGAGCAAGAAGCTACTAGGGGTTCCTGGCCTTATTATCAGCAACAAGAAGCTACCAACGTAACCTTCACCAACCAGACCTGAACAGAATTCGCAGGGTTTGCTTTGTTGGTTCTTGGCACCCGGAAAGAGGCTGTCCCCGGAAAAACACACCAGAACCACTAAAGTGTCAAAGGGATACTGAAGAGTTCCACCATCGTCAACCCGGTCCATCGATCTTGTTCACGTGGAAACATCACGGGTCCGGTCTTCTAGAAAGACTTGACTCTGCTTAGACTTGATTAAGACTCTTGGACAAACTCCGGAAATCCCAGAGACATGTGGGACGAATGGAACCCTGTGTTTGGAGCATGTAGGTATAGTGACACCCTGTGTTTGATACATGCAAGGCCGACAAACTTTAAACAAGTAAGGGCTTAGTTGTTCAATGCATACCATATAATATATATATATAGATCCGCAACAAACAAACAACAAACAAACAAACCAAGAAGTGAAGACTGCATGTTTTCTGCTGGACGTTGGCCCACCTGATTTGTGCGCCCGGCTCGACCATCGGCTTCGACGGTCTGCCTCACTGAAACAAGTCTAAACACACTTTCGTTGAACCTTTTGAGGTAAGAAGAACGATCTGATCAAAGACATTTTGCTTCAGACGTACAAGGACCGAATTTGGCTTTTGAGGGAAGGGCCGGTTTTTTTAATGGCCAGATGCTAAGTATTGATGATTGGTTGAAGCCTACACAGGAAAATTGGATAATCTGCAAACAAATTTGTGCAGTAGTGGATACCCCAACAAGAACAGGTGGAGTTGTTTTTGGTTAACCTTCACTTTCCAGGCCACCACAAGAGCAAGTTGTGGCCAAGTGAAGCACGGGGAAAACCGGAGTCACGTTCGATGGGGTGCCGGTTTCGAACGGAGGAAGGAGTGCAGCTGCCCCAACATCACATCTACAGCCTCGTCGGATGGGACGAGCCCAGTCAACCACCCAACTCCATTTGCGACTCCTGGGTGTTCTTTGTTTGTTCAGTTGATCATTGAAGTACCAACCTGGTGTCAACCCCCCTAGTTCCATGTAGTTTCTCAACTCCATCATGCAGTTCCAAACCATCGTGATACTCCGAGGAGGACTGGATGTACATAAACTCATATGGAGGACTTGGTGAAAACTCGGAGCTGTAAACCCTGGATCCGGTTGACCTCCCAAACCGGTCGTCCATTCCATGTTCGGTCAACGAGCTCGGGCCAAGGGTTCTACGAGCTCGTACTTCACCCCAACTGTCAAGACCCAAAATAGAACAAAGGGCCAGAAGTCACGGAATAGCAAAAGGAACCAAATATAGCCGATGGCCTCCCCCAGAACGAGCCATGGCCTCCACCAGGAGTCGAGTTGGGTGGTAAGTGGCTCGTCCCATCCAATGGCTGTGGATGTGACAGGGGCACCCCGACTATCCTTCGTTCGGCACCCCGTCGAACGTGACTGACAACGTGACGTTGCACCAAAAACATGGCGAAACCTGAGTGTGCTGATGAGCGTTTTGAGTTTCCCTAGGGATCCAGTCGTACCTTCTCAGAAGGTACGTACGACACCCTCCAAACCTACAACAGTGTCTCCAATCACCTTCTGACAAGGTACTTCGATCCATAGGGTTTTGCTTGCTCAGTGAGTTTTAGTTCTGGCTGCAGGAGTTCTTTTTGTTTGCGTGTTTTTGCTGTTTTTTGTTTGTGTGTGTTTTCCTTTTCTTTTAACCAGCCGCGATGGTTTCTGGTGCCAACGTCGAGTTGCAACTCGTGCATCCTGTTGGGACTTCACGGCTGAACACAGATCGGCCAAAAGCGTCCGCCGATGAGTGGCCGCTTGAGTGGTATCTTTGTCCGGAATGGAGTGCATATAATTATCCATGATCCATGAGTGGTGTTCCATGAGTGGTATCTTACTGTATATAATTATTCAGAAAGAACATTAGATGCATAGAACGGCGTGGGAACACGACACACGCGAACGATGGCATCCATGAGCATTCCTCCGTGCTTTTGAGTGGATCTTGATTCTTGATGTCTTGGTTTCATGAACGCTGACCAAAAGGCAAGGGTCCCGTTTGCGCTGCTACACCTCATCATTGTTTGTATCTCCAGGTGCAACATTTTAAGAGGCACATAGAGGCACCCTTCCATGGCTGTGATGTTGAAACCTTCTGAAACAGTGCTTGTTCCACGAAACGGCGCCAGACGTCTCAGGCTTCCAATTATAGCTCCTAGCTGGACTTTCACTACCCCATTTCACAGTTGCTTTGGACACGTCGCACGTTCAAAAGGCCGGCCGTGGACGGCTGTTTTTGCGTTCTAAAGCCGCTGTCTCCGCTTCGCAGGATGCTGACGTGCTCTTTCTCCAAGAGGCCATGTTGTTTTTTGGCTCGATGCCGAATGCTGTGAGATCTGTGGGATGCATCGCCTGGCAAGTTTGGCCGATTTAGGAAGTTGGTTTGCACTCGTACTTCAGGTTGCGGTCACCAAACTAGGTCGGCCCCCAACCTCTCGATGTAGATGACCACCACAAGGGTACACTCTGCCAATGTGGACACCAACATGCTCTCATGATCTCTACATGCTCTCATCACGTTTCCCATGAAAGCCATGGGTCACGTGAACCCCATGGGATCGCTTCATTGGCCCAGTTCCTGGCCGCCCAGGATCGCTAAAAACGGAACATCCATGCGTTGAGCACCGGACAGTCCCAGAATATCCATGTACAGTTACCTACAGGGCCATGCATGAGGTAAATGTATATACTGATATATATATATATATTAACAATTATACCAGGACCAGGACCTTCAAAGTGACCCTTTGATATCCCAGGATGAGGTCACAAATAGGTCTGTATACAAGGTCACAAACAGAGACTTCACAGAGGTCACAAACTGCTCAGGTCCTGCTAGAGTTACTAACCTGTAGGGACTATACCCTAGGGCTCCAACCACCTCCTGGGAAGGTGGTTAGACCCCCCAAACTCACCCTGACCACCGAACCTCAGGAGGTGGGACAGGAGCCCTAGGGATATAACTCTTTAATACATGGATCGTCCGGACGACGTAGACTTCACGACATCATGGCACGCCGATAGCACGGCACCGGCACCGCCGTAGCATGGCGCTCCGCATCGCTTGGCGCCGCGTTAGACAGCGCGTCGGGCTGGTCTCGTTCGAGACAGGCTGGCAATCAGCTCTTGAGCTCGCTGTGAGGTGCCCGAGTCTGCCAGGTCCAAGTTCGGACGCGGAAAAGCACGCGGAAAACGTCGAGTCTGTGGCGGCGTTCGTGCCGATTTGGGGCCGTTGTTTTTTGTTGAAGGATATCCAGGGCTCAAGATGCTCAGGTCAGCCAAGTTAGAGATCCGATAGCGATTCTTGAAAAAAGGAGATGAATGTTTGCTCCTCCAAGCAAGGAAACCTGACTGGTTCATCCAAGGCTTGGTTGTGCGATGAGGGAGGGGTCGCAAGCTGTGCTAGGGCCGCTAGTTACACCCCAGGTCGCTTCTTCAGTGACCAAACTTTGGAGTCCCGATCAGCCCTGACCCTTGACGTCCGGGCTGTTGGTGACCCCCTGAGAGAAGTAGAATTGAATGCAGAGTTCCACGAATTCTGCATTGGATCTGATCATCCAATGTGGAGTGGTTGTTCATCAGCTGTTTGAACACCATCAATAGGGCAATATCTATAACCAGCTCAGGTCGTGTTCCTATGAATTCCTATGACTCAGGATATCTCATTTTGGCAATGTGGATCTATGTGGATCTGATTCAATTTGCTGCTGCTGGTCTAGGTGGTCTGGAGCTGGCTCTGGCTCTTGAAACGTTTGAGCTTAAAAAAGATGTGTTTTCACTCATCCCGTCGGAGTGAAAAAACTACCTGTGGTGATTGAACCGCTTGCGCCGGTCTGCTCTTAGGCGCGAAGAGTATAGCAGCACCTTCCATGTAGCGGTGCCCAGGATCATGTGGGTTTTGGAACAATCCAAATCACGGATGGCCTGGGGGTG